TCACATGAGCGAGTAAAGGTAAGTAAGGCTTGTTTAAGAAAGTTACACGTCCGTGTGTTTTTTAGCATAAGAAAGACATACGAGAAGAAAGAATAAACATAATTTACACAAAAAATTTGACACACATGTGCATATGTTTGACACAAAGAAAGATATAGATAGAAAGAATAAGTATAGTTTGCACAATAAATTTGACACGCTTGTGTCTCATCAATAAGGTTGTCATCTAATGAAGGAAAAAAAGTCATATAGACGATAGGCGAGAGACAAGAGATGAAGGAAAAAAGTGATACGATCGTGTGTCACTAAAGAGTCATTCAAAAAAGAAAGAAAAGCCACACATGCGGTAGCTCAAAGACATTGAATGAAGAGAAAACTTGACATGGCCGTGTGTCAAAATTAAGCAAACCATATGAGGGGTCGTGTATAATAAAACCCTACTTTTTGCATATAATTTATGACTATAAACATAGAAACTAGTGTGTACCTTAGCTTATATCGTAAGCAACTCAAAATAAGAACATGGATTATAATAGAATCTACGCTTTGTAGTTAACTAAGACTCTAAAGCCTATACTTGTGATACCAACTCTATCACGACCCATAAAGTGGATCATGATTGGTGCAAGAATCAAGGGAACCGTGAGGCCTACCTCGATTCAAGCAAGCCTCAAATAACTAAACTATAATCTTCAAACTTATATTACATCAAACCTCATTTCTTATCACAATAATCCAACTTAACAATCATTACTTTATAACTTCAACATAAATTATAATTCAATGATATTCGTATATTTTTTAAATCAATATCCATAATTAATTTCTAATACAACATTCACAAGCTATAACTGTAGAGCTTTTAAGAATTACAATAAAATCAAATATAGATTTTAAGAGGTTATAATTAAATAAGCTGCATAATCAATGTGAGGACTTCAAGACAAGCTCGAATGGAAGCTAAAAAGGCTCCCTCACAAATCCTATAAAACTCGAAATAGTGAAGGGTGAGTAAACAATGACTCGGTGAATAGATACTATATAACATATCTAAAGGAGGAAAATGGACTAAGGATAGTAATTTAAAATTCATCTTAAAATGCAATGCTAACTTCTTCAAAACAAATGCATATCATAAAATCAAATCATACATCATAACTTAAATGGTTCAAAATCATTTCATATCAAATCATTGAATTGTACACACACACATATACATACATACATAAATATATATATCGTAATCATATCAAATCACATGTTTAGGTTTTTATTCACCTGTGGGGTGAATATAATGTATCATTGGATGCGAACACCCAAAGGTCATGCCCTCCGTGTAACTAGATTTTTATATGTTGGGCGACACATGGGCTAGCACTATACTTCTCTTACTAACTAGAGCCTTGTATCTTTGAGCTTAAAGATTATGCCTCCCGTAGCTAAGTTCCTCAAGGTCTCAAAAATATTTTTAAAATCATATAACTTATACATTTTTCAAATCTAGTATTTGAAACACGATGCATGCTCAAAATTAATTTAATAGTACATTTCAATATCGGATATATATATATAATCAAAATAATAATTGAAAGTAAATTTACATTTAAATTCATAATTGTATATCAAATATGTACTTAAATATTTTTTTAAATCATATCAAATCATATTCGATATGAAGTCATTTTAAATGCTCATGAAGTTTGTTCCCATTTAATTCCTAAGGAATGCGATTAAATTGTACTTAAACCAATGATGCATGATAGAATTATAAAAATAAAAATAAAAATAAAAACACAACATGATATATAATATCCATTCACAATACAAATGAAGAATTGGATGAAATCAAGGTTGTTATGAAGCAATCGCCCGTTTCAAAGAATCAAATAACATATGATGATGGAACAACCATCAATATCATATACCAAAGAATAATTCAAAACAATTGAATTATTCTAGGAATAGAAACACAAGATTACTTATAAGAATATAAATGATTGGAAGACTCAATTAATGACTTTAAATAAACTCTATAACATCTCCTACAATTCTAATCATCCTTCATACATACTATCTTTTCTTAAATTCAATTCAACCTTTAAACACTAAATTTTCAGTTAACTTATCAATTTCATTCTAATTCACTCAATACTCATTCCATTCATCTTTAATTGTATTTATATAACTTAATTCTCTATTTTTCCCAAATTCTTTTCAATTTAAAACCCAATTTTTAGATTTTTTACTATTCATCATCATCAACCTCTTAATTACTCAAATTTACTCAATTCCACTTCAAATTAACTTCATAAACCATTTAACCAAGATAATTATACATCATTTAATCAACTAGAATCACTTAATCAATTTTTTTCCCAAATAGGTTTCAATAATTTAACTCAATTCTTCATTCAATCAACAAACAATGCAATTCCACTTCGAGTATCATCATTAACTATACATAAACATCACAATTCAAAGTTCAAATGATTAAAAATCTTGCCTTTGACACTTTGTTCTTCAAACCTCCAAACCAATCCTAGCTCTCTAATCTAACTAAACTCCGCTTAAATCAACATGTTTAAGTTCCTCTAAGCTAATTTATCAATGAATTAACTTAGGATTTAAAGGAGAAAATTGGAGAGAAAGTGACGTGAGAAGGAGAGGAGAAGAAGAAAAAAGAAAGAAAAAATAAAAGGCAAGAATCTGTCTCCTCCTTTTATACCCGGTTTGTTTTTTTTTAATTTAAATATTATTTTTAGGTTAGGTTATTACAACTACCTAATTATTTAAATTCAGCTTGTTATGTTAACATTATTGATTATTTTGTAAATAAATATATATAGATCAAATGCATATACTTTCAAAAAGTAATCTTCTCATCAACATTAAATAAGCTTAAAATTTTCTTTTTTGTTAGTTAATTTTTATACACGTCTATGCATTAATTGTAAATTTATTTTTTGGAAACATTCTTATAAAAAATATATTTTTAAAATTTTTTTAATTCTTGATTAATATTTCAATTTAAATTATTACAAGTTTTTATTTAAGAATCAATGCACAAAGAAGAATAATTCATGTTTTTTTTTAAGTAGAAATTTTCTGAAAACATAAAAAAAAAATTAAATAAAAAAATTATAAATATTGAAAAATTTTATTCTATCCGATCAATGACATAGCACGAGTAATTTTAAAAATTAATCTTCTTATCAGCATTAAATAATAATAAAAAATTATTTTTTTCATTTATTAATTTTCATATAAATTTATTCATTAATTGTAACTTTATTTTTTGGATACAATCTTATAAAAAATTAATTTTAAAAAAAATTATTGAATTATTGATTAATATTTCAGTTTAAATTATTATAAGTTTTTATTTAAAAATCGATCCATAAAAAAAAAAAAGAAATGACATATGTGTTATAAGTAGAAAATTTATAAAAAATATAGGAAAATTAATTAAATTAAAAATTTTAATTATAAAATTTGAAATTATTTCGTTATTCATAACATTATACGGGCAACCGCCTAGTTTATAACTAAACGCCGCCTTCTTCCGCGACGCATATGGAATAACCCAACATCATCAATGCCAAGCCAATTTATATATATATATATATATTGTAGTAAGAACTTTGCCGTTCAAACGATGGTGACTACCAGACCATAACAAAAGTCAGTAGTAATATAAGTAGATAATAAAATATGCTGTTTTGTATGTCCTGCAGACATGTGGCGGGCATAGGATAGTCCTCAACTGGTCAACCTGTTCGTTGATCAAAAGTTTGTGGGGATGGACGTTTATAGCAGAATCATATCTAACCTAGGCGGTAGCAACCAATTAAATTGAAGATTAACTTATGTTTTTATTGATTATACATTAGTAATACCCAGATGATACTATCATCGAAAGTTGTAGGTATAGCGATATTTAAAAAAAAAAAAAAAAACTTTTTTTTTTCTGATGTGGTACTTGACATGTACTACTAATAAACTTAAAAAGAGTTTTTTCTTTAAAATGGACCAAAGAAAATATACGATTCAACATTAACATAATTTAGAAAATAATGATAAATTTAATTTCGATTAATATAAAAATTAATTAAAAAACATTTTATTATCTTTATTTATATATATTAAAAAAAATCCCAAATTATATTTTCAATGAAGAGAAAAACATGATTGAAGGCTACTGTAATATTATTAATAACCCCCAACCACGTCCACAAAAGAGTCATTAAAGTGTCTATCAAAGCATATACGTTAGGAAAATCCCCGCCCACTTAATTGGCACTCTTCGTAACCTCGAATAAGGCTCATTAAGGGAATCTGCTCTGCAATCTCTCTCAACCTTTACGACAAAAATGAAAGGTGGCTGTGTGCCTTACAACCCTAATAATAAACAAATGCATGCAGAACATAAACAACAAATTTTGTCATTTTTATTTGCCCAAGTCGTCTTTTCTTGTAACTAAAGGATTCCTTGATAGTGGTTATCCTTACACCTTGAAAAAGCTACTTTGATGATGTTTTTTTTTTTTTTTTGACTTGTGATGAACCCTAATGAACAAATCAAATCAAATCAACTGTTCTTTACTTCAATTCTTTTCTACGGTCGGTTTGGATATCCTAACTGCACACACACCCCTCAATTATTATAGATAGCCATCCATGCTAAAGCAAATTCCCTTTGGCAAGGTCCATAAAATAAAAAAAAACACCGGCCTCTTTCTTGAACCTACACCTTCTCCCTTCCCTTCTTTTAGCGTTTGACAATGACTCTTGAAGAAGTAAACAATGCGGAAAATGTTATCTTCTTCCTCTCCCAGAGAGGAAAAAGAGATTCCTTTCATGTCCCACACCCTTTTCCCTTTCAAATATTCCCTCCTCGTGTACACATAAATGCCACCTATTGATTCTTCATTCTTACTCTCGACCTTCTCCTCTCATACAAAGCATATCTCTTGGGTTCTCCACTCTCTTTCCGTTGCCCCATGGTTCCAGAGATAGAGGTACCCCTCTAACCAATACCATTTCCTCTTTTATTAACACAGAATATGAGCTTTTAGCATCTAAGCTTTTAACGAATTTCATATTCTTTTCTAACCATTCGGTTTTCTTCTCGTATGCAGAAACCTCGAGTTACAGAGATACAAGTCCGAATGGACTGTAATGGGTGCGTACAGAAGATCAAGAAGGCATTGCATGGCATCAATGGTAAGCAATCAGTAAGTGACTTAATTCCTGTAATCTAGCATCTTCTGCTTTCAAATTATCATCTAGGCTTTCATTCTCAACTTCCTTGTATCTGATTTCGTTCTCATTTCCCACAGGTATATATGATCTCTACATTGACTTCCAACAACAGAAGTTGACAGTAATTGGGTGGGCAGATCCCGAAAAAATCGTCAAGGCCATTAGGAAAACTAGGAAAATTGCCACCGTATGTTCCCCAACCGAACCCTCAGATCCTGATGCTCAGCCAACAGAAAAGCCACCCGAACAAGCAACTGAAGGTGGGGCACCACCACCACCAGCCTCTGAGACGGAAAATCCTCCCGCAGCAGAAGCTCCACCTGCTGAAGCAGCAGCTTCACCAGCAGAGCCTCCAAAAGATCCACCACAACCTGAGAACCCACCACCACCAGCAGAGGAGAAACCATCACCATCACCCGTTGCTGAAGAAACCAGTGCAAATCAGCCAGAAAAGCCCCCTGGACCTAAAGATGTAGGAGAGGTTCATGTTATATACCATCACCCACCGGATTATGGCTACAGATATGCTTATGGTCGTAACTATGGCGGTGACTGGCACAGATACCCTATTAGCCAAGGAGTCCCACCAGAGGCACCAAAGCCCATTTACGTGACTCACAGCTACAACACATATAGGCCATCACCGTACGTCACTGAATACGAGAATGTCCGATCCCCACCGAGTCACACAATTTACAGTAGGATGGACCGCTACAATGAGGATTATCACGACAACAGTCGCAGTAGCAATGGAAACATTACATCTATGTTTAGCGATGAAAATCCAAATGCTTGTCGAATAATGTGAGGAGGTTCAGGTAGTTTCGTCTGAAAAAGGAGATCTTTCTTTCTTTGACCTCCAGAAAAGAATGCAGAATGATTAGAAAAATAACAGAATCCACTAGCACCAATTATCTTCTAATAATCATTTCAACATGCTTTGCGAGGAGAATGAGATTCCAAGCTTTTATGTGCCGGAAGAATTTATTCTGCATTCCACTTCTAAGAGGCAAAACATATATACTTTCTGGTATTCACTTCTAGTAGAAGAAACCTATAAAGATTAATTATGTTCTACAACTATGCACTCTGCCTTCCCTTTTTAAGAACAGCCTTCCACCAGTAGTTTCAATTTCCGTAGTTAGCAGAACTTAGTAAAAAATTAAAATATGCTTTCAAATGCCTTCTCTAACGTAGTTTTAAAAACAGCCATTTCGTACCACCGTTATGGTCGTTGTATAATAATTTCGAAACTTTCTATCGCTAAATAACAATTTCGAAACACTCTGTTACTATTATTTGGCATTATAGATGCTCTGACGCTGTTTCACAAATATAACAACAAATAACAATATTATCATTATATAACATCGTTATTTGTCGTTATATAACGGCATTATACATATTAAATTAAAAAAAAAAAAATCAATCATTCCAACAACTGAAATTCAACCAAAGAAGCTGAGGCAGAGACCACGTAAGAGATTTAGATTTTCATACTTCATTAGTGAATAAGAATCAAATACTAGAGGTACAAGTTTGATTGAATAAATATTAAATTAAAAAATTTATTTTAATAAAATAAATTAATTAGTCTTTTTATTTTAAAAACTAATTATTTAGTTATTTTTGTTGTTATTTTCTAATTTGTTTTCCTTTTTGTTTGAAAAAAATAAAAAAAATATATATATATATATATCATTAAAAAATTGATGAAAAAAATAGTGTATATATTACATGAAACATGATCAAAAAATTAAATAATTAATTTTCAAAACATTAAGAATTAATTAATTTATTTATCAAAAGTAGAGAGACTAATTTATAATTTACTTTAGGTTGCTCTTCGTGTGTGTGGATACAGCAAATTCTGTCTCTTTAGTTTGAAAAAACAAAATAGTTGGCCCTTTTTTTTATCAAAAACCAATTAGTTAGTCATATTTTTTAATTTTATGTTATTTTCAATTTGTTTTTCTTCATGTTTAAAAAAAAAATTGAAAAGGTTAAAACAATAAATTAACATCATGCAAAAATTAATGAAAAAATTATTTTGTAAATATAGTCAACGCTGAATAAATTTTATATGAATTAAAATATGCTATTACTTATTAATATGCTTAATTAATAAAATTATTAAAAATATATAAATTAAAATAAATTTATTAACAACTAATATATTTATGACATCTCAATATTCTTACAAATAAGCTGTAATCGCAATCCAGATTGTTTTTTCAACCGGATGAGCTATTTATACTATGTTCCCCAATACAAGAAACAAAAAAGAAATTGTGCTTTTCTACAAGCCATCTCAATATTCCATTTCTGTACACCATTTCCAATCATGAAATTCTTACAAACAAGTTCTTAAAATTCAGGCAATCAACTCACGAAGAACCACCAGAGATGAAACCTTAATTAATTTGACTATCAGGTTATACTGTAGTAAAATTCAGGAAAAGGGGCATAACAGTCATTGCATGTTTGCATGTTACAACAAATATAATACATTCACTTTTGAAAAACTTGAGGGCTACTTATGGACCGAAAAAATAAAAAATAAAACAAGTTAAATAGAAAACATAACACTTAAACTTACCATGATCATTTCTAAACAAAAAATAGAAAGCGAAAACAAGATAGAATTCTTTAAAGGTTATACTCCATAAAGGTTGAAAACCAGTTTCCAAATACGCACCAAAACAATCTGTGCGTAGGTGATCCTAAATGATAGAAATCCCGCGCCAATTGATCCCTCTCTGTGTAACATAGCCGCTATACTCAATGGAAAACCTTCATAATAACAAATTTAAGAAACATGAACATACATGCAACTGACTGTCCTCCTTCCAAAAGAGAGGTAAATTCTCATCCGCCATTATGCAAACATTGTGCAGTTCTATATTTTATCATCACCATCCAATCAGTCACCTGCCAATCACTCAGAAGTTTGACCATAGATGGACTAAAATAAACTTAGCTGTCAAGAATGATTACCTGGCATGGTGATTGCAGCTAGCTATCATCATCACTACTTAACTGGGATTCATCATCTTCTTCCCCATAAAGACGTTCATCAACATCGTCATCATCCTCATTATCATCCATTTGGTCATTATGCAATGAGATAGAGTTTTTACTCAGCGCAGCCTTGTCAAACTGTCAAGAGAGCACAGCAACATATTAAATATGAACAGACCATATTAAAACTATTGAATTAATGCAACAAGAGAAGTTCTGAACCTGTGTTGTTACAAGCTGCAAACGACCTGCTAATTTCAACAAAGGTTGAACAGCCACCGCCCTTGATTTGGTGATCTGGGAGAATAGAGCACAATTTGAGTCTGCCAGATGAATAATACGATACTAAAGTCTACTGCAATATAAATACAACATTAGAATCCAGCGCCTGGTCTAACAGTCTGTTTACTTAGATGGAAAGGGGGCCTTAGGAGTAAAAAAAATGGGAAAAAGGGAAGAGCTTGGAGATGAAACCCGCCTTATTTCTAATTGTTTAAGATTTGACAGATTGCATGTGATGGCCCTGTATGGAAGGAAGAGCTCTTTTCCTTCAATTTCTCTACAAGGAGATAGTGGAAGCACCCCTCTCTTCCTCTTCCCTCTTTTTCCCTATGTGTTCCTGTCCTTCCAGCCAAACATAGCAAGGGAGAATAACCACAGGGGGCAAAGTAACGCCCCCCAGATAATGACAGAGCTCAATCACTCAATGAATCATCACCAGAAAGTTTATTGCAAGAAGGTCGCTGCAAAGAAGATCAGCTTTGGAGTTGGCCTGGTCTACATGTTACAATGGCCAAAGTTGGTCTAGACCACAATGACAAAGAAGCTGTCCCAGACCAATTTGCTACATTTCTAGCTAACCGCAGCCAATTACAACCTATTTTGGCTTGACGTCCATTGAAGTTAGAGCCACTAACAGAACAAGGCATGTTGTACAAGAATTTGAATACCAAAGATAAGTACAATCTATAAGTCAAAGCATCTATAAACAAAAGCAAGCTAACAAGTCAAACTAAAATTATACAATTTTTCAGGCTAGAATTTGGTAAAGCTATTCCATATCCTATATGACTAGAAGGTACTTACAATCTTATACTGATTTCAATTCAGTATAGGTCCTAGAATGAAGTGCTAAGTACAGAAGTTTCACAGCATGGAAAACATCTTTGTATGAAGTTATAATAGTTTATACAATCTTAAGCAGTAAAGTTTTACCATGAAATGACACATACGGTAACAGATGAGGGGTAAAAGGACCAAGCAGCAGCAGCAAGATCACTTCAAGTTATGACACAATAAAGATTAAAGCATGAAAAGACAAACAGATGATACACCTACGCATTCACATTATTATACCTTTAATAAGGAATTAAGTATCTGGGTCTCCGGTTTTTCTTGAGCCACAATATAATGACCATGGTTGACCAATATACAGTATATCCATGGTAAAACGCACTTTCCACTGTTTGACCTGTTGAAGACAAACCACAGTTTTTTAATTCCTCCAAGATTAGGAATAGATATATGACAGCTGCCTCAAATGCAAGTCCTTTATAAACATCATAAGTTATATTCAGATCAATGAACAAATTCTAATTGGCAGGACCATAAGTTCAAAATAGAATTATCAGTTATCTTTTAGAGATCTCTACAATAAGAATAAATTAGAAGTAGGGAGTCAACACAATCATGGAAAAGTAAGAGCAAACCTGGATTGCCACATGGACACCAAGACTTCCAGTAACTTGTATGCGTTGCTAGGTCCCATAGACAAAACCACTGTCCTCATCTGGTGAAAAAAGAATTTATAGCTACTATTAGAAATGAGGATTATACATGAAGGAAAAAAAGAACAAAATTGGGATGACAAATAAAACCAAAACCAAAACCAAAAACTCCCTTTAGATGAAAAACAAACCTTCTTTTGTGGGATATTGACTTCAAGATCAATATCCTGAAGTGTCGCAGAATCAAGAGTTGGGATCAATTTACCATCATCTTTACTACAGAGTATGTTTAATAGTCTCAACTGCTTCTCCATGCTAGTTGTTGCAGCATCAACCTCTACCATGAAATCTGCAGAAACCAGCATAATAAACAGATAAGAGCACGCAGAAGAATTAACAAATCAACTCAAGTTAAACAGAACTTCACAGTAGTAACTCTGAAGCAAAAGTATGGCCTTGAATTACCCATTACACAATACGGAACTATATTGATATTTAGAACACACATGTTTCATATTGAAAAGTAAAATCATCTCACACAGCTTTCGATACTTTCAAAAGAGTGCTTGTGTTCTTGAGGATAAACCTTTCTGTTTTTTTCTTTTAAATCATTTCTATTTGTATATTCTTTTCCTTGCTCTCAATTGCTCATTATTTTCATTTTCTCTAACTTTACATTTACATTCCGTTTCATTTACCTATTTCTCTTTCTCAAGCCCTTTTTTTTTTAAGTTACAGCTAACAATTACCCAGTTGCAGCAGTCTTCTCGTTGGCTCATGTGATAGGCAATTAGCATATTGTAGATAAATGTTTAACGAAATGAAGTAAAAGAATCATAAGATGCAAGTTTTTTTTTATATTAAAAAAAAACCCATTGTTTTATCAAAAGAAAAAATAGTCAAGCAACCATTATATTACAGTCCCAGGAAAAGAAAGAAAAAAAAAACCTACTGTTTTGACTATAAATCACATAAGGGCAGTCAATCTTAGAACAGAGAGATGGCCAACATAGGTGCATTCATATAACTAACGTACTCACAATATTCTGGAAGATATTAGACATACCTTTGCTCTCAACAGACTCTGTCATTACCTCATCATGGTCAATGATATTCCTATTTCTCATCTTCTTCTCATGAAGATCATAAACTTTTGGAATAGGAAGCAAGGCATCTTCCACATTGGCACAGTCTAATGCAGTAACTGTTGAATTAATAGAAAAGTAATAAGCAACCATGCAAGAGCAACAATTAAAATCAAAATGACATTAGATTAAAAAACCATCAGAGGAAGAATCTATATCATCAAGCAAGAGCTTGCATAATAAAGAGAACATGTCAGGAAACAGCTGCAGAAGCAGACTTTCAGAGGTTGCAATTCAACAACTGTAAGTAAACCATAACTACTGAAATCAACAAAACATAAAACTATGAAGATTTTGACAGGAGGGCTGTGCCACAAGGGTTTGCCTCATCAGTCAACATGGAAAATAACGACTGTAAAGGGCATAGGAAATGGTCTAAGCACACAGTCAGACAAGGCAAAAGGAAATCATTGTTCAATCTAATGTATCAAAGAAGTCAGAAAAATTATTTTTAGAATTCTTTTGTCCAGAGTTCATGCCAATATCAGAAGAGTTTGTCTACAAAGAGATGTCCAAGAAAACAAGTTTCCGTCAATAACTCTCACATTATATTTTCACTTATCCCCAAAAAATAATAGTTATCATCAAGTGTTCAAAAAAAATGATTATTAGAATTCTTTTGTCCAGAGTTCGTGACAATATTAGAAGAGTTTGTATACAGCAATAGGTCCAAGAAAACATGTTTGCACCAATAACTCTCACACTATATTTCGACTTATACCCCAAAAAAAAAAAAAAAAAAAAGGTTGTCATCAACTGTTACCTCGATTTTGTACATCTCTGCCTTTCTTAGATTTGCTGAGAGACTGACTCAGTGGTAGAAGAACTCCATCCTGAGAGCTATTTAACTTTATGTCTGTCCCAGAATGCACTAATATTTTCTGAAATAAAGGCTTTACAAGCAAACCATAGGCAATAAACACATTTGTTGCTGAAAGTTTGGCAGTGCCTTGTAATTTTGCGGCCAATATTGTCGGTAATGCACCCTTGTGATTTTTGGGAAATTCTTCAGAAGATAGTAAGATTTTTGTGGGTTTGGAATTGCGTAATTCCTCAATATTTTTTCCGCACCATGTGTAACAAACACCAGTTTCTGAAATGGCCAAAACATATAAGCCTGCGTCGTCAACTCCCTCATTTTCCAAGCACCTACTATCAATGAATACAGCAGGGTGCTCCATCGCAAGAACACAGCTTGCTGACTGCCGTTTGCCACCATCTATTCTCCACAGTGCAATATATCTTTCGCCAGCAGCGGAAGAGAGAATGTATTTGCCATCATCAGTAAAGACCATGAAGCGAACAGCTCCCTGTCAATATTGAGAGAGACTGATTTAGCTGAGCATTGACAGCCAGGAAAGATAGCCAAATGGAAATGCAGTATAACATGGGGTTATGCCAGAAACAAAATGCAAAAGGAATATGGAAACACTCACAGGATGACCAGAAAACTTCTGCATCTTTTTGTGGTCAGAGCAATTGAAAATTTTCAATTGCGCAGCAGCAGTTGCTAATATCTTCCCATCTGACATTCAGAGTGCCCATCCCATTGAAAGTATGAGAAAGCAGTAAATGTTACATATTCACAAAGCATTCACTTCCAACAAACTCTAATGAGAGTACCTTTTATTGATGGTTAACAACCCAAAAATACTAAATGCCCAGAGGGTAGTTAAATTGAATTATTGACAACTAATTTCCCAAAGTACATTTTGGCCATATTCTTTCCAGATTCTACACTTCATAAAAATAACTAACTAGCGAGTGAAAAAATTACTGAGAAAATGTTTGGTTTCCCTACAACCATAAAGCAAGAGTAACATGAAATGGTGTAAATGATCAATACCTGATGAAACAGACATGCAGGCTATCGCCTTTGTAGAAGCTCTAAACTTCCCAAACATATTTCCTGTATGTGGATCAGTTCTGCAAATCATTCCATCAGCGCCTGAAGTGTAAATGCACGAATCATGTGTGCAAAATGAAACAGCAGTGACACCCCTGCATGTTAGAGAAAGAAACTATTAAGTCGGAGGTGCATGTAAACATTTACTTTTCTTTTTATATGTTTGGTAATTCTGCAAACTGATGTTAACAAAATCCTAGGAACATTATAGTTCCAATTCATAAATGGCGAAAGGCATACAATGTCATAATTATACAGTGAAGAACTCACCCAGGATGGCAATCGCTAACACTCCACTTCAATTGACCAGCAGACACATCAAGTGCCAAAATGTCACCGCTGCCCGTTCCTAACACTAATAATGAACTTCCTAGCTTCCTTTTTTTCTGCAATTATGGGTAGTTTTGAGCACAAAGTTATTTCAGAAAGTCAGAAGCAAACATCAGACGTTTAGTAACACAATGACAAAGCAACTTTTATATCTAACCTTCCTATCCAAAGACAACCACTTCATGCATTTATAATCAACCGAAAGGTGTCCTCTTTCAGGTTTATCATACAAATTTCCATCACTTGATGTTATGTCTGCAAACTCAGTCTGCACCTGGCCCTGTAATGTATCCCAAATCTGAAAGCCAAAGGCAAAATTAGTAGTTCCTACGAGAAAAGAAGAAAAAAAACCTCTTTCATCAGACAAAGGATATTCTCACACAAATAGTTCCTATTATGGGTTTTTCCACACACAAACAGAAAAAATAAACTGGCCAAAAATTCACTAATGATGAATTAACGGAAAATATATTTTACTATAAATCTCAATTTTGAAAAGCCCTAGCATTTGCAGAATCCAAAGAGAAGGGGTTCATGTACCTTTATTCGACCATCTCCCGAACTGATTGCTAAGTAGTCCAGTGAAGGACTAAATGCTGTCAAAAGGTCTCTGATATTCGAGGACACCATACTCCTGCAAAAAATAGAAGTGATAAGTAATAAACTACATTAGGTGGAAAACTACATTAAATGAAGGACTAAATGACGTCAAAATGTCTCTGATATTCGAGGGCGCCTAGGTATGTTCTAGAAAAGGAAGGCAGAGGTAGTATAGTGCTTCCAACGGCGAAGAGAGGTGGCTAAGCAAGCTTATATAGTTAACAAATAAACCATTCAAAACACACACACACCAACATACCCAGCAAAGACTTCTATGACAATCATTGTAAAACCCTCTTAAAACCCATTTGCTCAATACAAAATTCTAATCATGAATTTGAAGAAAGATTAAAGCTTTTTTTGATATATTTGATAGTGAGTTATAAATTTGAATTGTAGACTGGTGTCTTTTAGTCTCTGTATTTTTAATGACACAAAAGAAGAGTTGTGGAAGCAGAGGCTTACCTGAAACGGTGCAATCCACGGCTTTGACGTGGCGGAGAGAGGGGGCGGTCGCTGGGGTTTTAGGGGTTTTTGAGCTTCCTCAATTCTCTCTCTCTCTCTCTCTCTCTCTGTTTTTGTTTCTGCTTCTCTAATAATGAAAAACTTAAATGGCCTCGGCTTTTTGGACAGCTATCTTACTATGGGCTTGTCAGCCAGGTCCTACCTCTATCCCAGATTGTTACAATTGGGCTTTTTGGAGGCCAAGGGCTTGTGATCCAGGTCTTACCCTCTATCCCAGATTGTTATTTTTATTATTATTACTATTATTATTTGGTTAAATGTTTTATGGTATTTTTTGGAAAAGCATTCCAACACTAGATTAAATCCTTCAATAGAAGAGATTATTATTTAGTTTTGGATTATTAATCCTCCAACCACCAAAAATTAGGATTCATGTATAATTTATTATAGTAGATCCCATTTTTATGTGAATAGAAGAAAAATATTAAGAAGTAGGGGTATGGGGTGAGCAATATTTTGTTAAAATCGATTAACTTAACTGAATTGAATCAAAATACCAATTCGGTTTGGTTTTTGATTAAATTTGATTAAAAAACAACTAAAAATGAATTTTTTCTTAAATATGTTTGAACTTTTAATTGCTATTTGAACTTTAATAGTTCAAATTACAATATGTTTGAACAATCAATAATTTTTCATTATTATATATTTTAGATGTAAATTAGTAGAGTTGTATTTAAATCTTGATGTTTTATTATGTGGTATGGTTTTGTGTTTTAGTCTTATTTAAATAAATAATAAATATCTTTCCTATAGGTGAATTTTTAGACCCTTTGAGCTAGAGAAATGAACTTCATAGTGCATAACACAATTTTTTTTTCTTTTGTCTATTTACATTGTTTAAAAAAAATAGAACAAAAAAAAATTGGTTTTTATCAAAAAAAAAAAGAATAAAAATTCAGTTTGGTTTATTTATTTATTTATTTGTGAATTTAGTTAATCGAAAACTGAATACTCACCATTAAGCATGAGTATATCTAATCTAATAATTTCAAAAATCCTTCAGGTCAAGAAGCTCTTTAGGTCTATGTATTTGTAAGAAATTTCTTTGACTCTTGGTGAAAAATTATGAGGCACGCAGGTTACACATTCATTTATTACCTATGCTTTTGGCAATTATCCTTTGAATGAATGTATTATATAGCAGTTGTGAGTGAATTTAAGTGATTAAATTGTTCACTCTGACCATACATTCACAATGTATTAATTGTTGTTAGCTTCTCAAAATTCCAAACACGGCCTCCTCCTGATCATGTTTTATAATTAGGGCTTAAATTTTTTTATACCCTGAAATCAAGATGTAGGGAAAGAAAAGGCTCAAAAATTGAAAAAATAAATCAGTTGAGGAGACATATGGGATTTTTCTTTTCTTTTCTTTTTTCCTTGCTGCATACGCCAACATCAACATCAACGTCAACATCCATCCAATAATATTCTTTCCCCTTCCTTTTCAGAAGACAAATGGTAGTATTAAACAAAGAAAGATAGCGAACGAGATATATTGGCTTGTTTTTATCCAATCAGAAATGGGGATGAAATCAAATTAATGAGAACCAAAACCTTTTGGGGTAGGGCTTGATTTGAAATTATCATTTTGATATCTGACGGGAAGGAAGTTTTGATTAGTGCTGAGACTTGGCCAGTCAAGGGCCAATTGGCATTGCAGGAAAACTTGGACTGGATGACAGCTTTAGGTAAGATGGATTTTTTTGCACCCCAGGTCTTAATGATAAGATATTCATACGTACGTGAAGCGAACACATCAACAAAGGTTGCTAGTTACGGTAGGCTGGCAAATAGACTAGCCTGGGGAAAGTTGCCTTGAAATGCTTTCCATGCATAGCAAATAATGCCGTGTTCATGAAAATCTCTGGATGTCATGTAATAATGCGTCCAAAAAATAGTATTAAATTATTTTTTTTAAAGTTAATTATAGATTAATTATATTTCTAATATAAATTAGAAAATCTGAATTTTTGTTATAAAATAAAATTAGTTTTTGAAGTCATTCAACTTTTATAATTAGTCTCCAATCTATATAAAAAAATAAAATAAATAAAAAATTGACAATCTTGTTTGAAAAATCCCAACAACCCCTATTTACTCCTCATTTCTACTTCATCCAACTTCCTCTTCCATTATTATGCTAAAATCTTGCTCAAATATCCTAGAAAACCATGAAGACAAAGGTGGTTAGAGTGATATTTAGCTAGATTAGAGCTTGGAAGGCTTGGACGATTATAAGATTGAAGTAAAGGTTTAAAGACATATTTGTCAAAAGCAAGATTTTTATCATTTAGTAGTAGATTTAAGATGTTTATATGTGTTTATTGATTATTTTAGAGTTGTTTTATAATGGGTTTGTTGTTTGAGTGAAAATTGAGGTAGGTTGGAGTTAGTGCTTGAGTTGAATTTGAAAATTTAATGATTAAATCTTTATTTACACTAATTGATGCTTGAAATGAGATAATAATGGAGTGAAATTGATTATTGGAATGTGAGTTTGAGAAATCTTCAAGTTGGTTGGGATGATGTGATGTGAACCCCACGTATAAAGACGAGAGATCCAAACACATTTGTCGCTAGAAAACCTTAAGAACACGTTCAATTAGGTTATAATAAGTGAAACTCGACCCGTTGCCTATAAGGAGGCAAGAACCGGAGTTATATTGCAATGGAGTAAAGAACGCCACAGCCTTATGGAGGATGATAAGTTCGTAGTCGCCATAAGGGTTGCAATCCTTGATAAGTCGGCTTTAGTTCTCAAAAGAACAAAGTAAGAAAATCCTCTCAAATTTATTAATTCTTAAAATTATTACATAAGTCTAAAACACAACTAAACAAACCTTTAAATAAGCTAAACACGCCACTCCTAACCCTAAAAAACTCTACATGTCTTTGCCACCTAAGGAGAATAGAAACATACCTAATGGACTTAAAAACATATGCAAATAATATGACTTAAAACATCGAGACTAAATCGACTTAATTAATTAGTTCTAATTATAATTAAGTTAGGCTTAAAACATTGAGTCCAAATCGACTTAATTATTTAGTTCTAATTATAATTAAGCTAGATATAACAAAATAGGCCCAATATAATTTAAGGAGCCCAATCTTGGACTTCGATCAGATTGACAAGTCTTGATCGCCCTCCTTTCTTAAGATGACACCACAATGCTCCCTTGCGCTCTTAGAAGGGCATTCCGCCTAACACTCTTGAATCGGCCTATGGAGAGCTTCTTTAAACTTCTTAACTAACTCGTATCATTGGACCATCTTTAATGTATAATGGATCATATCTTAAACTTGTAAACTCATCATCTTGGACCTCCTTTGGAGACACCACTTGCTAATCCATTTGGCTCCTTAGTTTCCATCATTCCCTACTTCTTTAAAAAGATTCATCCTTGAATCTTCATCTTGATTCTCATGATACTCCCTCGATTGGGGAACACTCATCCTTGAATCTTATAATAACAAAGTATTAAAAAAATGTGCACATACCTAACTTGTAAAATACAAATAAATAATAGCTAGAAAAATTCAGGTTTGATTTTGATGTCATTGGACTTCTCCGAATGGACAAATTAAATATATTGTATATTCTCGTGAACATCCATAATCTTCTCATTGTCTTCCTCCATCTGCACAGATCATAAGATTATCAAACTCGTCCTCTTTTGGCTCTTCTTATTGTTTTGCCAAATCTTCAATGAACACAAACTCTTCTCATTTAATACTCTCTAACTTCTCCTCAAGCATTACTTCTCTTAAATTAAGATTGAATTTGGATGCCTCGGCCTTAGGCTTGTAATCACCCTCGGTTAACTCTTTATTGACAACAAGCATAGTCATCATTATAACTCGTAAATTAGAGTGCTCTCAACACCAACAAAATCAACGAGTAGCATAACCATCATTATAGCTAAAAGTTTGAGTGTTCTCAACTTTTTTTCTCTTAATTTCTTTTTTTCAAACTTATTTGGTCCTCATAAAATTGCTTAGGTGACGAGTGGAACAAGTATTACTTTTTGTCTCCTCGTTTTAAATGAATATCTATTGCTAAACTCATCATGTGTCACTTTTCTAACAACTTGCCAATGATTTCCTAACAAAATATGACCCATGCTCCTTGGCACAACATCACACAAAACCTCATCCTTATATCACCCAATAGAAAAGGACATTATCACTTATTTGTCCGCCTCAACTTTTCTACATTCATTTACCTATCATAATGTATATTGCTTAGGATGTTCAACTACGAGCAAACTTAATTTTTTGACTAACTCGGGACTAGAAACATTGACACAATCACCGCATCTATTATCAAACGACATACCTTATTATTGACATAGTATTAGGTATGAAAAACATTATCTCTTTATGCATCTTCCTCTCTTTTCACTTGCGTGCTTAAAGTGTGCATAATTACTAATGACTCACCATAAATATCATCATCAACAATGACTTTAACCTCTCTCTTTGGATTTTTATCTTTTCACATGTTTAAAATTTATACAAAATTCATTAGTAATAAAAATTCCTCATAAACACTCCATCACATGCTTTCCTCAAACCGATGAAACTCAATGTTCTTGTTTGCTATCTTTTAGGGTTTTTTCTTTAATACGCTCACACTCTTCGACCTTTTACTACTCTAACTCACTCATTTGGTTATTTTACAAACTAATCCAACCTACACAAGAACTAACCAATTACAAGTGACTCAATAACTTGACTTTTCAATGATCAAA